ACGTTCTACAGCAGTGGAACCCCGAGTCAACCACGTTCTACAGCAGTGGAACCCCCAGTCAACCACGTTCTACAGCAGTGGAACCCCCAGTCAACCACGTTCTACAGCAGTGGAACCCCCAGTCAACCACGTTCTACAGCAGTGGAACCCTGTCCACCACAGAAACATCACTTGGTCTGGATCTGGACCCAGACCCACCATTTGGTCATGCACGTCCTACACAGTGGTGGCCACACAGCTGACATCATCACAAACCTCTTCTCTGATAGGCTGTTGTCAGTGGTGCACAGGTTGACCTTCCATTCATCCTCCAGCTTCAGGTCAGCGTTACTGAACACGCCCATTAGGATGCTGGAGCCCATGTAGTCCACGCGGGCCTCTGTGGAGCCCATGGTGATCTGGATCTTATGGCTGGGTTGCTGGTTTGGATGCTCAGAGATGTGGGCTGCAAAAGAGAGAGTGATGTTTGACATGGAACGTCAAAACGTGAAACACTTTTTTTTAAAGTGATCACTTTTGAAGATTAGAACAAACACAGATATACTGCATTTACAAATACTGTCTTTCCATAACTGCAGTATTCCAGTGGTGACAGTGTTGACTCACAGACCATCTCCAGGGTGTTCACGTCTATGTTGCCCCCCACCACACCGCCCTTGGAGTCCAGCTTGGAGCGTCCCAGTCCGATGGACATGCTGATCTCCCGGTCCCGGTTGCTCCCCACAGAGAGTCGGCCTTGACTCTTGAGGCCACTGGTGGTCCAGCTGCAGGACAATGATGAAGATGAAGATGAAGAAGAGCTCCATCACATCTACATGACTCACCTCACTGGAACTACAATAAAAGCTTCTAGATGAACTGGATCTATGGTTGGACCGTGAAGGTTCTGCTGTTCTGACACTCACGTGTTGTTTCCCATCACGTTGCTCATGTTCATCTGAACAGTGAGTTGTTTCAAGTTGATTGCAAACACAACTAATGTCTCCCATGGCGCCCCCTGCTGTCCAGCTTTGCCATTTTTACCAAATGATGGTGTGGATGTTTTTGTCACAGAATCTGAAAGAGAACGGACGTTGATTAGAGAAAAGTTGACGTGTCACTTCAACTTTAGACTAACAGTTGACCCTGTTAGTCTAAAGTTGACTAACAAGGTCAACTGTTGTCTTCTAAGGAGGCCCCCCCTCCCCCCCCCACTGTGGCTGTCTGTGTTTTCATCACCTCTCCTGGGGGCAGAAGAATCAGACACACTCCGTGTTCGACCAGACGCGGGGGATTTGATGTGGCCCAGTCCACCAGGAGACACGTTGACTCCACTGGAGTGATCGGAAAAGACGTTGGGAGACTGGGGGGGGGCGTGCTGTGTCCCAGTGCTGCCGTCCCACGTCCTCCAATAGGCCTTTCTGCTGGACTCAGGGGACAAATGTTGGGTGACGTTCTCTGCCGAGTCCGGTGTGGCAGGTCCAGAAGCTGAAGACAGAAGAACCCATCAGAACCCAGAGAACACTGTTCTATGTTCTTCTAACTCTGACCCAGAGAACACTGTTCTATGTTCTTCTAACTCTGACCCAGAGAACACTGTTCTATGTTCTTCTAACTCTGACCCAGAGAACACTGTTCTATGTTCTTCTAACTCTGACCCAGAGAACACTGTTCTATGTTCACCTGGTAGGTTGATGGTCTGGTCTCCCAGAAAGAGGCGTCTGGCTATACTGCGTCTGTACCAGGCTCTGGGGAACGCCAGGATCTCGCTCAGTCGCCTCATGTCATACTTGAAGGAGGCGGAGCCAATGTCACACACAGCTAAAAGAAGAAGAAGAAATGTAGACGAGAAAAAAAAACGCCCTCTAGTTGTCAACAACCATCAACAGATTTTTAAATGTTTTGTCTAGAATCTAAAACGATCCTCTCAGGTCCACAGGACCATCGACCGTCTCAGTGAAACAACACAGGCTCCTTCATCGACCGCACCAGCATCATTTCATCATCAGTCAGTGACGTTTCAATCTTGGACAAAGAGAAAATACCTGAGATGTTGATCAGGGTGGTGTCCACTTTGCCCCCCTTGATCGGAACAAGGTTTTCAATAAAGGTGGGGGGTCCAGCTCTGCGAATCCTGGACAAGCTGACCTTAACAAACTCCAGGTTAATACTGAGAGAGTCCTTCCTTCCTGTGACTGAGGACGGTTCTTCATCCACTGTTCCTGTGGGAGAACAGAGAGTGAAGTCTTCAGGAACATGGAGAGACACCAGCTGTTTCATCAACATGTGAATCCTCAATAATACCTAGAGGCCCCGAGCCGGGGGGCAGCCCCGTGACCGCAGACTTCTGTTTCCCCGCTCCATAAGGGTGGAAGACGAAGAGGGAAAAGTCGGACATGCAGGCAGTGAAGCTGAGGCCAGAAGAGTTGCTGGGAGGACCAGAGAGGTCGGACTGGCTGCTGCTGTGTCGGCTCCTGCCTAAAGGGCTTCCTAGTAATGGAGACGCTGCAAGGGGGAGGAGGGAGAGGAGGTGAGAGTGAGCAGTCAGACATCATCATAAATTAAGAACCAGCTGTCAATCAAATCTGACTACACATCAAAGCCGACTACTACATGACTACGCATCAAAGCCGACTATGCATCAAAGCCGACAACGCATCAAACCTGACTACGCATCAAAGCCGACTACGCATCAAAGCTGACTACACATCAAAGCTGACTTGTCAAAATAAGAGCAGGACACAGACAGTAGTAGCAGTGAGTGCAGCTGAGAGAAAAACCTATCAGACCAATCAGAGAGCAGACACAGCATTAGCATCATTCGGTGTGTTAGCATTAGTGCTAATATAAACACTGCAAGAGTAAAAGGTGACATTTTCACACTATTCATAGCTGACGGTGTCTCACCTTTGCTGGGAGGTATTTTAGGGATGTGCTGCCCAGGTGGGGTGGAGGATGGTGGGTGTGATCCCTCCGTGGGTTGGGTCCCTGTTGGGGTCTCCAGTTCACCACGGTTGGAGGAGAAGACCAGGTCCAAAGAAGGCAGTTTTAACATACATTCCACTCTGGACATGGGCAGGCAGCTAAAGCGGATCTGGGACGGCTGGAAGGACAAGAGTGGGACAAACTGAAGCATGTGCTGTGGACAGCAGTATGTAACAGCGCCCCCTACTCTCTGTTTACAAACAGAAACTGAAAAAAAACTCTACTGAACAGAGTACTAAGTACTGGGAAATACTTTAAGTTGGAAAAATGACTTAAAGATTACTGCATGTACAAAATCCTATTCTCTGGTACTCTGACCTGGTCTCTGGTACTCTGTCCTGGTCTCTGGTACTCTGACCTGGTCTCTGGTACTCTGTCCTGGTCTCTGGTACTCTGACCTGGTCTCTGGTACTCTGTCCTGGTCTCTGGTACTCTGACCTGGTCTCTGGTACTCTGTCCTGGTCTCTGGTACTCTGACCTGGTCTCTGGTACTCTGTCCTGGTCTCTGGTACTCTGACCTGGTCTCTGGTACTCTGACCTGGTCTGTACTAGGGTCGTACCTGGACTCTGACATAAACTACCACGTCCACAGGGAAGGAGGAATAAGCTGAGGTGGAGGAGGAGACCAGGGAGGTGGTGGACTCCTCCAGCTGCTCCACCGGATCAAACTGACCCATGTCCTCCTCCTGAGACGCCACATCTGTTTGAGGAACACAAAGGTACGTTTGAGTGTCAGTACATGCTGGAAAGGAGAGCAGAACCTGTGTGGAACTCTGGGAGAACAACAAACCAACCAGAGTAGTTCCTCTCCACTGGAGTTATGGGGATGGTCTCCAGGGCCTTTTCCAGGAAGTCCAGCAGACAGGGGCTGATGACCATCTCCTCCGGCAGAGTCTGCAGTGCCACCCATGCGTACAGCTTGGCTGTTTTCATCGCTCCACTGGCCTTAGCCTTGGCTGCAGACAGAGAGGTCACGTGAGCTGCAGCCTCCACTCTGGTCACAACGTCAGAGTAAACTGTGAATGAAGTGCCATCCCATAATGTTGTGACTGTGTTTGGTCCATGAAGACATGAATCAATAAAACGTGTGTTCAGTTTGGTGGGAGCATCTGATTGGCTGTGGTTCTGATTCTGGTGACGGTGCTACAGCATGCATTGAAAAGAGAGGAAATGCTCAGTACCTGATGGAATAGGTGGGGGTGGGGGAGGTAGGAGGGAGTTAATCCTGCTTTGGGCAGCAGTGGGAGGATTGGAGGGGCCACTATCTTTCATACCATACAGTTTGGACTCTTTGGAGAGCGTGCGAGGGAGGGAGGAGCCGCGGGAGGCGCTGGGTGACTCTGTCTTCAGGGTCTTGGAGTTGTAGTGCAACTGGAATCAAATGAAAATGAATGAACAGAGAGTGCAGGTCAGAAATGTTTGGACAGTTATGACTGGGGGGCGGGGGGGGGGGTCTGACCTTGACGTCCACTCCTGGAATGTAGAAGACAGTGGTCTCCATGTCATTACATTTGGTCTGCAGGGTGAAGGGACATTTCTTCCCAGCTAAGAGGTGGGTGGTGGACATGTAGGTGGGCTGCAGCTTCTTCTTCTTGGGGGGGGAGTCTTGGTCTAGACTTCTTAAGCTGCGCTCACAGCTCCTACAAAGTGAGAGTTGAAAAGAAAATGTAGTGATCAGCTGAGTGCTGTGTTCCCTTGTCTGAAGATAGAACCGTGTACTACAGAACCAACAGAGGGTGCTGTCCCACTGTCCCACTGTCCCACTGTCCCACATGCTGGTGTGACTTTTGAAGTCAACTTCAAACTCTCCTCCTGTGTCTCCTCCACTTGAACGCTTAAATCATTTAGTGCTGATGCTGCTAGGCCTAGACTGCTGGGGGAGCACCCACTCTTCTAAGAATGCATACATGATATTACCTTCTCAGAGAAACGTCCTCATGCTCGGGCTGCTGGGTAGTGGGATGGAGGACACACTTCCCACTGTCGATCTCCACACGAACGTCCAGCTCAAAGTCGATGTTCCTCTCGGTGGCCGACCCACTGAAGCTGCGGTTGGCGGGTGTGCTGGGCCAGCGCTCGCTGAAGAGCTGACTCACTGCAGAGAAGCCCGAGGACTTCCTGTGGGGCATGTGGCTGGAGACACGTGGACAAAAGTTCTAAACATCATCATAGTCCATCACAGACCAAAAAAAGGTTTTGACTGAAGATGAATCAGATGACTCACAAAGGCCTTCTGAGGGTCGGAGGTCTCTCACGTTCAAATTCGTCTTCCTTCTCCGAGTCTTCGGAGGACGATGAGGACAAGTCGTCACGTCTGATGTCGTCGTGCTGGAAGGGAAGTGCAGGTGAAAAGACAGCAGGGGTGCAGGGGGCACTGAAAACTGAGTGTTGGCCCTCAGAGGTGGATGGAGAATGAAGATGAGGGTGACGATGAAGAAGAAGAAGAGATGGCTGGTCAACGGTAGATGACCACAGGTCCACGTTTGTCTCCTCGGGGAACTTCAGAGAAGTGGACAGACAGAAGGAGTGAGACAGGAGAAGGTTGATGTTGATGAACCAACTGTGAAGACATCATCAGCCGACAGACCAGCTGATGATGTCACAGCCTGTCATCAGGTTCTGTTCTGGCCACAGTATGTGTAACTGTTTTATCAGCTAAACATCATGTCTGACTGTCCACTTAAAAAGACATTACATATTTAGAAGAGATTCACAAACAGGACCATGAAAAACAGTGGAAGACAGAGAGAGGTCAAGACCAGGACCTCCGAGAACCCCAGGAAGGTCAAGACCAGGACCTCCAAGAACCCCAGGAAGGTCAAGACCAGGACCTCCAAGAACCCCAGGACTGTCCCACTGTCCCACTGTCCCACATGCTGGTGTGACTTTTGAAGTCAACTTCAAACTCTCCTCCTGTGTCTCCTCCACTTGAACGCTTAAATCATTTAGTGCTGATGCTGCTAGGCCTAGACTGCTGGGGGAGCACCCACTCTTCTAAGAATGCATACATGATATTACCTTCTCAGAGAAACGTCCTCATGCTCGGGCTGCTGGGTAGTGGGATGGAGGACACACTTCCCACTGTCGATCTCCACACGAACGTCCAGCTCAAAGTCGATGTTCCTCTCGGTGGCCGACCCACTGAAGCTGCGGTTGGCGGGTGTGCTGGGCCAGCGCTCGCTGAAGAGCTGACTCACTGCAGAGAAGCCCGAGGACTTCCTGTGGGGCATGTGGCTGGAGACACGTGGACAAAAGTTCTAAACATCATCATAGTCCATCACAGACCAAAAAAAGGTTTTGACTGAAGATGAATCAGATGACTCACAAAGGCCTTCTGAGGGTCGGAGGTCTCTCACGTTCAAATTCGTCTTCCTTCTCCGAGTCTTCGGAGGACGATGAGGACAAGTCGTCACGTCTGATGTCGTCGTGCTGGAAGGGAAGTGCAGGTGAAAAGACAGCAGGGGTGCAGGGGGCACTGAAAACTGAGTGTTGGCCCTCAGAGGTGGATGGAGAATGAAGATGAGGGTGACGATGAAGAAGAAGAAGAGATGGCTGGTCAACGGTAGATGACCACAGGTCCACGTTTGTCTCCTCGGGGAACTTCAGAGAAGTGGACAGACAGAAGGAGTGAGACAGGAGAAGGTTGATGTTGATGAACCAACTGTGAAGACATCATCAGCCGACAGACCAGCTGATGATGTCACAGCCTGTCATCAGGTTCTGTTCTGGCCACAGTATGTGTAACTGTTTTATCAGCTAAACATCATGTCTGACTGTCCACTTAAAAAGACATTACATATTTAGAAGAGATTCACAAACAGGACCATGAAAAACAGTGGAAGACAGAGAGAGGTCAAGACCAGGACCTCCGAGAACCCCAGGAAGGTCAAGACCAGGACCTAGAACCCCAGGAAGGTCAAA